CCAAACGTAAGCCGTATTTAATGTAGCTGCACGATTTGGAAAGAAAAATCTAATTGAGATTTTTCTGATAACAATTGTGATAAAAAAAAAGAATAATAATAATAATTGTTGTGCTTATTTGTAGTTCTGCACAATTTGGGCCAAAATTTTGTGATTTTATATATTAATATGGCTTTAAAATAGTAATAATAATTTGTATTATTATTATTATTATTGTTGTTGTTAAATATTATTTTTAATATTATTATAATTATTATTAAGAAAATATTAAACAAGAAATAATACTATTAATACCAAATAATACCAAACGTTACCCCTATTTAATGTAGCCACACATTTTGGGGAAAAATTGATAAAAATCTGAAAAAATGCAATTGCGATAAAAAAAAAATAAAAATGTTGTGTGTATAATGTGTGGCTACATTAAATAGGGGTAAAGTTTGGTATTATTATATATATATATATTTATTAATTTATAATATGACTATATAATAATAATAATGATATTATGATAATAATGATAATGTATAGTTTTTAACAAAATAAATTTTACTATTTTAATATTTCACTGTATAAAAAATTAGTATAAAAATTTAGTATTAGTATAAAATTAGTATACATTTCTTTTTTATAAAAAATTAGTTCTTAAAAAATAACAAAAATATAAAATATATTACTATTTACATTTTTTATTGTAAATAAGTATTTAAGAAAAATAATAATACATTTTATCTTACAGTATAAGTATAAAATTACAATACTAATATTTTTGGCTATATATTTGTACCATTTGAACATATTATTCTGTCTGAAATCTTTATTGATTTGTCATATATTTTGAGTTTCCATCACTACATTCTTCAGAGCTTTACCTGGCTCTTCCCGGTGTTTTCCAGCTGTGGTGGATGTGGTGCAGGACGCTCTGAGCCGCTGTCGCAGACTGCTGCTGCTCTACACGGCGTCGTCACTCTGCAGCCCGGAGGCGCAGGAATGGGCCGAGCAGCAGACGGGTCTGTACCAAGCGCTGGTGGAGAACTCCATGAGGATCGTGCTGCTGGAGCTGGAGGAGATCCGCGAGCCGCTGCGCCTGCCTCACTCCATCCGCCTCCTCAAGGACAAACAGGGAGCTCTGCAGGCCTGGAAGAGAAGGAAGAGGTGGGCGTTCTGCGACGGGAAGTCAGAGGAGCGTGTGACCTCTCTCGAGCCCTCGGCGCGCTTCTGGAGGGAGGTGCACTACCATATGCCCGTCAGAGGCAAAGCTAAAGAGAGAAACTGGTTCAGTTTCTAGACTAACACTAAATGTGAATACTCAGGGTCAAGTTGTACTGTGTATAGTGATGCTGTCAACAATCTGGAGGTCAATCTACAGGTTTACTGCCAGTAAACGCTCACTTTTTTAGCAGCCTTTGTTCCAGAAGTTTATTTTTGGTTTAACCGAACCAACCAGTTTCCTCATGACTTTCCTCTTTTTTTGGTGTCTGAGGAGAAAAACTAGACAAGGCGATTCCAAAAATGAATACTTTTATTCGGCAAGGATGCATTAAATGAATGAAAAGTGACAGTAAAGACATTTATAATGATTTAAATAGCAGAAATTATGTATATAAAAAGACATTTCTTATGGTTTTGTTGTGGGATACATACTATGCTTTTGTCAGTATATAACGAAAAATTGGTTTGTCACACATTCTGTCGATCATTCCTATGTTAATTGTTTTTATTTTATTTTTAAGATTTTAACTCCAAACATTTTACCATGTTTATATGTACAGTATAGATTACATTTTTACTGTAAATAGGAAGAGACAGAAAAAGATTTGAATCGGCGGGGACCCCAGACCAATAAAATTAGTGTGCCGCCTCTATTTTAAAACCCACGAGCCGCCACTGCAGAAATTACCTTTTCATCAAAGGAACGCCGACCCAGATTCTATTCCACAGGTTTCCGTTCAATGCTGCCAGTTTTTGTGAACTACAACTTCAGTCAGATCATACACATGTATGAGTTAAGGAATGATATGTATATATATATATGTGTGTGTGTGTGTGTGTGTGTG